CCACTCACCCGGCTCCCCGGTCGCCGGCGCCGCTGGGGCCGCATCTGCAAGCTCTGGAGTCGGCTGCTGCGGGGGCTGCTCGCCCTGGTCCTCCTCGGAGTTGATGTGCTGGGGTTTCGCCTGCTTGCGCCTCGACATGGTGCCAGCATCGGGGCGCCGGGAGAGCCGCGGTTATTTGGCCTCTCCGCCACAAATTCCTGGAGTTGGGAAATTTACCCCCCTTCGGCCGGAACGCGCATGTCCCAGTAATTATTATTATCAATAATGCATTGCGATTTATCATGAGCCCTGACAGCTGATTGGCCTGGGTCCAAGACCTCAGAGATCATTTAAATAAACCCTCATTGATCAGGGAGGGGCGAGGCATTCTGGGCTTTGTAGTCCGGCCCTACATGTGACAAAGGCGTGTTCATCAGGGGAGCGCAGCTAATTAGCATCCTGGCTCAGATTGGCTGTGGCGAGGACGAAATGAGAGGGGACCCATCCTCACTCCGGCTCAGTCCTCGGGGAGGAAAGGAAGAAGGGGGGCAGTGCGTGCTTACTGGAAACTAGGGAGCGCGTGAAAGTAGTGTGCTCCCAAAATTGCTTTTGTGAGGTTGATGCCCACCAGCTGAGGCGGGAGGTCCTTTCATAGGGGAATACCTTACATCCCCAAAAAACAAAACCTGAGACGGGACCTGCGTCGCCTTCCATGTTCTTTATGATGGAAATGTTGAGACTGAGTCTGAGACCACTGCAGAATGCCGAATGTGGGGGTTGGTTCTGCTTTGCGCCCACCTCCACTCTTAAAATGGCCTTCGACTTTGCCAGATTTCACCCTAAGCGTCACCGCGATTAACCACCTTTAAATGGGTAGCAGTGGGCCCCAGGACTCCAGCGCAGGAGGATCGGTTTGTTGTAAGGTGGACTTTTTCTGGCGCAACTTTTAAATATCTTGCTGCTAAACATAAAAGAGGCCGATTAAAAGCAAACGTGGCCAGAGATAATATCAAGACAGCGAACAATTGCATTTTTTCCTCATGAGCCATGAATGTCTGATAGCATCATATTTTATTACTGAAACAATGCTTTTAACCATTGGGGTTTCGGCAGTGCAGACTTTATTACAGAAAAGATACGTATAGTTCAGAGTGTATCCTCCTGGAATTGGGATGCCTTGAATGTTCTAAAAGGGTGTGTGTATCGTGTTTACCTCGTAAATCTATAGAAGTCGATCTGGCCAACTGCCTTACACGCTGCTCGATAACCCAAGTCTGGTGTTTCCGTGCTGCTCCAGGACGAGCACCTTTATTTGACATTTACTTCATTGTAAGAGACTGCGCGAATATAACCTCGCCCTCCTCATTTCTGCATTGCATTTTCTTGATTAGTTATTTGCCGAGTTCCTGGCTTGCGAGAGCTGCTCGTAAACTCATCAGGGGTGCAAGCAGTGCAGAGTGAAGAGCTCATCAGTGTGTTCACCTGGGTGTTTGGACAACCAGAAACTGAAAATAAATCAGCCCGATCGTGCTTTTGGCATTGGAGGCGATCAACGCAAACTTACTGAAAAAAGGGCTTTTTCTGTTTTTGAGCCATGGCTTGAAAATGTTTTGCATTGTCTTATGTATGTTGCCTAAAACAAGAATTGCAGCCAGCCAACAGCAGAACTGGAGAAGTCAGAATTTGTTTTAACAATACATAGATGGGGTTTAGAATTCTGATACTGAGTAAAAAGGCCAATTAACACCTGCCTCGCTGACTCATCTACTGATACTCGGAACACCTTTTCTGTGTAGGGCAGTGTGGCGGGATTTACAATCTAGATGAATGAACAGTAGAAATGTTTGGGGTGTAAGGAAAACTTCCCTTACAGTACAGTCGTTGGTATTGATTTATTTTAACAAGTGCTAGTTTAAACATGTTAGCATTTTTGCCTAGTGGTAAAATTGTGGCCCTGGAATTTCCAAGTGAAAATTATAAGAACTGATTAAGCCCCAAGTAATGCCACAGGCTGCACAGAAAGCACGCGGTTTCTTTTTTATCTTCATAAGGTCAGCACTGTTTTATCTATTTTGAAAATGAGGAAACTTTGCTGGGGACGGTGGCATACACCTGTGATTGCCACACTTAGGCTGAGGCTGGAGGATTGCAGAAAGTTCAAGGCCAGCCTGGGCTACTCAATCCAGCCTGGACTACAGAGAATGAGACCCTGTCTCAAAAAAAGGGGAGGTGGGACTGAGGCTCAAAGATATGAAGTAACTTAACTAGGAAGTAGCTGAACCAGTAGTCAATTCCCAAGACAGACTCCAACGTTTTTTCTCTATCACGTTTCCTATGATCCCACTGTAACTGAGTCTAAAATTAGTATTTAATTATTTAGAATTCTATAAGCCATCAAAAGCTCTGGGTGGAACTAGATTTAGAAAAGATAAGTGATCAAAGTAAAAGATGATTATTAAACTTTTTGGTTTTTGTTTTGCTTTGCTTGGGGTTTGTTTGCTTTGCTGTTTTGAGACAGGATCTTGCTCCGTGGTTAGGCTGGTCTTGAACTCACTATGTAGCCCACGCTGGCCTCCCTGACTCGCTGTTTTCCCCCTGCCTCAGCCTCCCAAGTGCTACGTTTAGAGGTGTGCACCACCACACCCAGCTGATTCTTAACTTTTTAAAGCTAATGTCTTTTATTAGATGACTAGGATTTTTAAATCCAATCCTTTTAATGTTTCTCCTAGGGAAGAATTTTGGGGATGTGCACTTGTTGGTGTATTTTTCAGCAGTCTATAAACACTGAAGCTTTACTGTTCCTAAAGAGGTCAGGGATGCAGGACCCCACTCTTCCTCAGTGGAGTTCTCTTTTTCTTCTGAGAAGATGAAAGCTAGAGTTCCTAGCTCTCATTGACACCTTGAGAACTAACAAATGCATGCTGAATTATGGACTCAAGAAGTTTCTGGGGATGGGCACATCTGATCCCACAAAACACCTCCCTGTTCCTTTCTGCCAGCACCACTCTCCTTTCTACCTGACCTCCCTCCATCTGGCCCAGTCCAGTGAAGCCTCCAGACTCAGTTCAAAGTTCCCTCCCTACTACCAGCCTTCCCTCATCCAAACTGAGCGAGTGTCGCCTCTCGGTGTCAAAGTTATAGAAGCTAAGGCTTTCCTCGTGCAGCATCACGGCAGATTTAATTGTGTACAAATGGTCCTTGATTTATGATGGTCTCACTTATGATTTTTTTTTTTTCACTCTACAGTGGTGTGAAAACAACTGCATTCAGGATAAGCCACACTTTGAACTTTGATTTTTGATCTTCTCTCAGGCTAGCCACACTTCAAACAATCCTTTTTTTTCTTGAGACAGGGCCTCCCTATTCCAGGCTGGCCTCTAACGGGATCCTCCTGCCTCAGTCTCCTAAAGCCTGGGATTACAGGCCCGCATCACGGAGCCAGGGGCAGACAGTACCACAGCACCTGGTCAGGGAGAATTAACAACAGATACTATGTTGCCAGTATTTGGGGATTATTTTGTTTTCACATTTCATGCTTGCAAAAATGCCAGTAAAGGTCTCTTGCTTTTGCTCAGTTGAATGCATTTTTGAGTTACCAATATTTTCTTTTCTAACTTTAATGTTTATGAGCCCTGTTTGCAGTAGATAAGGGTTACAGTCATCACGGGGAGTTGCACATGTCCACAGCTCAGCTTAATGGTGTTTGCAACCCCTTCACCTCTCCTCCGTCCAGTGCTGATATTTTGGGCACAGGGTGGGTGGGTGGTGGGTTTCCCCACACGGAGCCTGAGCAGAGCACAGGAGCCACAGTGAATAAATAACGAATGGATGGCACGAGACGCGGACCTGAATGGGAAGTGAGGTGTTGAGAGCAGCGTCGGGCGGGAAGGTGAGTGGTGCGGCCGGCACGGAGAACAGTATGACGAGCCCTCAGGATTCGAGACAGAACTGACCCAGCAACTGCGCCTCTTGGTGTGTGCTCAAAAGAAGTGAAAGCAGATCTCAGAAACCGACACCTACATCCACCTTCGGAGCAGTACCATGGTACGTAGGGCGGAAGAAGCCCAGTGTCCATCCGCAGCGGAGTGGATGAGCCAGACATAGGCTAAGGCACCATGGATGATTATTCAGTCTTCAAGAGGTCAGGCGCTGGGATGTAACCGAGCTGTGACGTTAAACTAGGTGAAGGAAGTCACGGAAGGACAGACTGTACAGTGCCACTGCCATGCAGTGCCTGGCTCAGGCACAGGACGAGTGCGGGCAGCAGGATGGAGGTTGCCCGGGGCTAGGAGGAGCGGGTGGGAACCAAAGAGTCCAGTTTTGCCAGATGCAGAGGTATCTGTCCGTACCCCGAGGGCATTCTAACTGCTCTTGGTACAGAAACAACATAATCTGGTAACTGTGTGACTTGATAGAAGTGCTAACTGACATCTTCAAGCCTATGAAACAATTTGTGTTTTAACAAACAAGGGTTTGCTGGGCCTGGTGGCACACACCTGTAATCCCAGCACTCCGGAGGCTGAGGCAGGAGGATCGCTGTGAGTTCGAGACCAGCCTGGGCAACCTAGTGAGTTCCAGGTCAGTCTCAACTACATAGTGAGACCCAGTCTCAAAAATCAATTCATAAATAAATAAAAAACAAAGATTAAAAAAAAAAAAACAACCCAGGGATTTAGCTCAGTGGCACTGCGCCTGTCTTGAGTTTGATCCCTGGTACAAAAACAAAACAAAACAAAAAAAACTTGATGGGTATGACGGCAGATTTCATGGTAAATGCATTTTATTACAATCAGGAATAAAAAGGCAATTAGACACTGAATGGTGATAGTTATACAACTGTGTAGATGTTGGTAAATCACTGAACTACTCCTACAGTGAGTGTACTTTATGAAAGGTCAGTGGCATTGTTTTTAAGTTCTGTGGCTGCCCCTACAGCCCTGGGAGGAGCTTAGTGGCGGTGTGTGGCCGGTGAGGCCCTCTCCTGGGCGGCCTTCCAGCATCTCAAGCTCAAAGGGGCAGAGTTGAACCCTGTCACCCACAACCCACCACCACCAGAGCCTCGCCAAGTGGGCCCCTCTGTTTGTTCCTGCCGGGAAGCACCGCGGACGACTCTGTAACCACCGCCGCTTGCGCTGTGGGAACCGTGAGGCTTGGCTCTGGGAAGTGTAGGGCAGCGTTTCTTCTCGACATGGCCCAACTCTGCGAGGGTTTTATCGATTTGATATCTGCCCACCTCCCACAGAAGGCTCCACGTCCGGAAGGCGCTCTTCACGTTCTAGGGATGTAGAAGTTGAGCTACTATTGCCTGGGAAATCACGCCTGTAATTTAACGGTGCTGCTTTACTATTGGGCCAAATATCTACTTTTCTGTACCCCGGCT